AATCTAGAATACATATTTTTTTTTTGTTGAAAAATGAAATTTCATGAGCACCACATTCTTCCTTAGGATCTCCATAATCACATGCTGAAGTTTCAAATTATTCGGTGTACCCAGTTTAGAGAAAAGTTTTATAAATATGTTTGCTTGATATATATATGGAATTACTCTTTCGTATCACCTTAAGGTGAAGTGAAACACGTTGAGGAACTTGATCAACGTCGATAATGAAGATTTTTCTAAATGCCTACGTTGCCGACGTTCGTTATTATATCGACAGCTGGGTCAAATTATATTGGGTATTGTACCAAATGGCATACTCCACCTGTCGTTTTCGTACAATAATTATAAAGAAATCGAAGTAAAACTCCAGAAATCCTCTGGATTTAAGCTTTCTGGGGCCCTAATTGACTGCGGAGGGACCCCTTGCGCCATCTGTGATTTCCAGGTCAATTAAATTTTCACTCCGAGACCTCGTATTCCCATCGTTTTAGCAAATAAGCGCATACAACACTTTTTTTGCCTTTATCCCGTTGAAATGCGAGTTTATCGATTACCAGAGTGTTCTAAATTGTCGTAAAATTGTCCTGACCGTTTCGATTCTCATATCAGAGCCTTCGATAATTGTATACTGATCGAAATATGAGAGATCGATGCCATTTTGGTTCTGGTCTGCGCTGAGTTAAAAAATTCTTTTCAAAAATCCAAATTTTGAATGTGTCAGGAAAATTCTTCGATGATCAGGAGTGATGTGTCAAAGTTTCGGACAGTTTGGTCTAATACCCTTAAAAAAAAGTGTTGTATCCGAATCGACTGATTTGAAGGATGTTTAACTTCACCTTAATATTTCCCAGCGAGACGAGTTATGAAATTGGCTTCGGTATAACTTTGAAACCGTAAACAGATCGTCTATTCAGGCTATTCAGATGTAACAGTTTAAAAGCTGCGCCTCTCCACCGTTTCCTGCGTTCTCTGAAGGGCCCTTCATCAGTTTCCGGCCATAACCTGCAAAGTGTGGAGGTTATGTAGGTTATGGTGAAGTGAAACACGTCGAGGAACTTGATCGACGTTGATAAAGAATTTTTTTCTAAATGCCTACGTTGACGACGTTCGTTTTTATATTGACAGCTGGGTCGAATTATATTGGGTATTGTACCAAATGGCATACTCCACCTGTCGTTTTCGTACAATAATTATAAAGAAATCGAAGTAAAACTCCAGAAATCCTCTGGATTCATGCTTTCTGGGGCCCTATTTGATTGCAGAGGAACTCCCTGCGCCATCTGTTATTTCCAGGTCAATTAAATCTTCACTCCGAGACGTCGTATTATCATCGTTTTGGCAAAGAAGCGCATACAACACTTTTTTTTGCCTTTATCCCGTTGAAATGCGAGTTTATCGATTACCAGAGTGTTCTAAATTGTCGTAAAATTGTCCTGATCCTTTCGATTCTCATACCAGAGCCTTCGATAATTGTATATTGATCGAAATATTAGAGCTCGACGCCATTTTGGTTCTGGTCTGGGCTGAGTTAAAAAATTTGTTTGAAAAATCCACATTTTGAATGTGTCAGGACAATTCTTAGATGATCAGGAGTGACGTGTCAAAGTTTCGGACAGTTTGGTCTAATACTCTTAAAAAAAAGCGTTGTATTCGAATTGACTGATTTGAAGGGGGTTTCACTTCACCTTAAGCGCCTGTATTCCGACTCTAAATGTCGCAGAAGCAACGGGTTTACCTATGTTTCGTCTAAAGGGGTAAAAAGGAGGGTTTAGGAAAAGAAAGCCTGAATTTCAACGGTGGTTGTTGCTCTTCTTTATTAGAAATATTCGCGGCAAATTTTACGCCGTTGCAGCAGGTAATAGGGGGTCCATCCCGTCGGTGATGTCGGTAGGGCCGGTGTCGTTGGTACCGACGCTACGGGGCTACGGAAGTTTCATATTTATGACTCGGGTTGTTTCCCTTGACTCATAAAATGTCGCCGGAGGATTGTTAGGGCGTCCACGTGGACGTAGGGCCGAATGCAACCATTTCGACTCTCGTTGTAGACTGGCTTCGCAACTACGCGAGTCATTGCGTCATATGGAATAAGATATTTTCTTGAAAATGGTTCTGCTCGTCGATGGAGGGTGGAAATTCTATGTAATAACGAAGCAGACTCGAGAATTGATACTTCAAATTGGAATTTCAATTGTTCCGCGCCTCCATGTCTTGATATATAATATTTGTAAAGACACTCCACCACATTCAAAGGGAAACATTTGTTCCATTCGTACATGGAAAAGCTTATTCATGAACAATTAATTAATTCTTAGTAGACGCGCGCTGACTTTGCGTAACTACGCGAGTCATTGCATCATGCGGGATAAGATATTTTCTTGAAAATAATGAAATAATTATTTATCGTTCTCTTCCCTTCTTTGAATTTAAAAATGCCAATTTTTTTTTTTTTTCCAGGACACGTAGTTCTTTAAAGGGAAAGATATAGGATTCAAGATCAAGAAGAACTTTTGATTCCGGTGTCTGCAAAATGGTACTTCATCGGTGCATCTTGGTCCTCAGCATTTTTGCCTGCTACTTCACCTGCGTGCGTGGTAGAATCGTTGACTGCGAGTAAGTCACAGGACTGTCTACTTAAATGTCAAATAAATGAGCTTATTACTTGCGGACCAAGGAGAGTCCGACAGGTTAATTGCACCTTTCATTTACAGGAAGTATCCGTTCCACATGCAGTGCAGAGGAATACAGACGAGGAAGCGATATATGGGAATTGGAAACGGACTTTCCGGGGAATCAAGCTACTCTCGAGACACCCAGACATCGAAAATACCGATTTCGGTTTTGAAGGAACAAAGACATTCCGTTTCTTCTCTTCAACAGCCCGAGTACAGGTCGAACCTCTGGTCCATTCTCCTCGACAAGGTTAGGTTGCCTCTGGAAATCCGATTCTCTAACTGGAGACGCGTTAGGTTAGGTTAGGTATATTCCCTGCACTTCAGTGTAACGAGTGTAGTTAAGTATACTACACTTTTCTTGATAAGTGCAAAAGTGTAGATACATTTTCGTCAACTATATCGAATGCCCGAAATCTTGAGGAAGTTCTTCATGAGGTCTTTCAATTTCCATTGAATAATGCCCTTAGGTTAGATTCGTATATTTATTTTACACTTTATAACAGAATAATTTGCACTCGTTGCACTTAATTGAGAGCGATGGCAGAAAGTGTTACACTTTTGTACTAAAAAGTGTAAGAGTGTAGATTAAATTTGGCGAAAGTGTACGCTAAGTGTAAAAGTGATTGTAAATGAGTGCAAAAATGATTTAATTGTTCAGGGCCTGGATAACGATGCTCTGTACGAGGCATATACCACAGCGGGTCGACGCAGGTATAATGGGCATGTCAGGAGAAACAAGGAGGACATCGGCAACAACAACGGTAACAACAACAACGAGGAGGAAGAAGACAACAGTGTTTCTGACCACAGGTTAAATCATCAAAGAATACCAACTTTGCTAGACTTTTCGTCAGAGCTCGATCGGCTGGATGGAGATTATTGATCGAAGCTCGTCGCAGGGAACGACACTATTCATACCGAGACAACGCAATGTTATGCTAATGATGGATAATCGATTTCTTAAAAAGAGAAAGTGGAACAACATTCATTCAACTGTCGATCGATTTCATGCCGACAACGATGGGATTCACCAACTGCGGAGGATCCACTCTATGGAGGATGAAGATGCTCTGCTTCGTCTTCTGCTCTTTCGTGCAGGGCTTGGCATCGATGTGTAATATAGTTCTACCGATTCATTAGGTTAAGTTATTAAACAGGTTAGGATAAATTATTTAATTTAGGATAAATTGTTTGGTTCCAAAGATGTTCGGTTTTCAAGACACGCTCTAGTCAGTGATTAGTGATAATTTTCCTCGTTACGGTAGATTATAAATTCATGCGTTCCATACATTCGCATTAGATTCACAGACGTACTGTCACTACGTTAATTTTTTTTTTTCAAGTGTTCAGAATTTAGACTCGTATTTTGTAATTTATTGTTGCTTTCGTATCGTATCCTTGACAAGACAAGACTGACATTAATTATAGATCGTTTGGTTTAGGTTTAGGAGAATGTGTTAATTTAATGGTAGCCCTTAGGCCTCTTTTAGGTTAACCTTCGAGCTCAGACATTTCAGAACAAACTAATTTCTCTAAAGGTGATATCAAGCCCTGACTTTCTTGTGATACTTTTTCGTTCACTCTCGCGTCCCTAATTATTAATCCACTCTGCTCGTCGACTATAATCAATTAAGTAGATATAAACGGTATAAATGAAAGTATAGTACTCTGTGTCTGTTCGATACCACTATGAATCATTGGCGTAGTTACTCGAAGGACTCAAAAACAAAGGGGATAAAAAGAAATATAAAACCGTCGAAGGCGTGAGATTTTATTCGAGGTTATATTTTCCAGCCGAAGTGCGGATGTTAAAAGAGTATGTAAAAAATACAGGCGAAGGTACCGAGATGCCCTGCGAAGAACTCTCCGTCGTTTGCGTCTCTCGATGGAGTGTTATCGGTATATAATTATTAAACGATAACAATTTCTTTTTTATCGTCCACGAACGTCGCCCGAATCGACGTACTCGAAACGACTCGTAACTTTTGTGACTCTTGTACATAAGATACAACCTGGTCGAATTTTCTGTGGATTACGTTGAAGGGGCAAAATATATATGTACGTTATGCATAAACAATTTCGTATGTTGCGTGTCGATGTCGACATACTTCGAGAAAAATTCCCGCGACTCTATGCGAGGTCAAGGTTATAATAAATCAAGGATCTCCGAAAAATCAACAAAAGGACATGTATGGAATGATTGACCGAGTCTAAAAATGAATAAAAAGCCCCAAAAGGTAAGTGTTAATTAATTATTACTTTGCTTCACCTAAACCTCAAGAAATAGAATAAGAAAGATTTCAGAGTGAGGTTAGGAGTCAGGGGGACAATAAAATACGACACAGTTGAACATGATCGGTTATTATTCATCGTCGACAAATTGCACGTACCTTGCAACTTACATTATAATAACTATGATACAAAAGACACTAAATCGTAATCGTATAATCATAATAGAGAACCGTAGTCGTAATGTGGATGACGATTGGCGCTAAAAGTGTAATAGAGGAGAAGAAACATTTAACAGAATAGAGTATCTTCCGACAGGTCCATCCGCCATCGGATAATAATTCTCCACGCGATGAGTAATTAAATCGTCAACAATCCGGATTTTACAGAGCCATTTTTATATTCACGATAATCGGAGCTTTGCGGCATAATTAAATACTGGTAGAGCCGAATCGTCCGGAGGTTTATCGATCGACATTACAGATCAGTCGTTTGCAATACAATTAAGTCACCGACCCTCTGGTGGCCGCCATTTTCTCGCCAAAACTAATTACTCAGAGGATAACTTTATGCGTCATATATATAATATATATATATATATCATTTCTTGTAATATATTTAAATACTTTACGGAGATAGTTTTGACGAAGAGTTACCGCAAACGCGTCACACTAAATGTCTTCGAGATTTGTAGACAACAAATACCACTGTGACGTATGTTTCTTCCATTTTTTTTTCTTTCTTTCTTTCTTTAATATAGCACACGAGAATTATCGTTCATTTTCGACTTGCAAGAGCAGCTCTGACGACCCGACGTTCGAAAATCCTTGAAATTATTATTTGGAAAAATTATTCTTGCAATAACAAATGTCATTTCGGGACGAACTGTACCTGATTTTATTTTTCAATTGATTGATAGTATTCGGAATGTATACAGGGCGAGCGTAACGATTTTGAGAATGGGTGGGGCTTGGTTGCCACGACGCCACGCCCACTTGCTCGTGTCGGCCAATCGGATCAGCCGAATACGGGTGGATAGGGGGGGAGAAGTGCTCAGCCAGCCTATCGCGATACATGGTTTATAATTGACAAAAATCTCGATTTGTGGTTCATCAAGAAGTGGGCGTGTCTTCGCAGAAACTAAATTCCACCTAACGTGTAACGAGGGAATGAAATCGATTCTTAAAAAAAATAAATAAATAAAAAGATAGGTGCATAGTTAATTTATCTACATTCCAGTGTCCGATTTTCGAAATTACCGTCGAGCCGTCAGAGGATTACATCTTGTAATTCCGTACATGGAATATTACAGCAGGACGAAGTGCATACACTGGGGGGGGGGGAAGTCAATTAACCAAAGAAATATTTTGTCAGTTCAAAGAATAATTATTTTACTCAAATGAATTGTCACAATTCTGAGGAAATGTTGCATGAAATTTATTAGTCGAGTTTACCCGAGTGAAATAATTATTCTTTGAATGAACAAAATATGACTTTGGTGGCTCAAAGAAATATTTCTTTGGTTCAATGACATGTTTCTCTCTCGTGTGATCGCTCCCGATAATTGTCCTCTTTTTCATTTTATCCTCCCACGTTTGCAGTCCAACCGATCGAGGTTTACTCAAATTTATTAGGAATACGTCGACCTGTCTTTCGAAAGTCTTTTCCTCTTTCCTTCTCGTCGGAGCATGGAAAGCACCAGTTTTGAATGTTGTTCCCGGCTTCCATCCATAAGGACCATTTTCCCGTGACAATGCCACGGGAAAATGGGCCTTACCGCGAAGCGGGCAACTCGACCACGGTACCGCGGTTCTGTATTTGAATTCCATTTATCGAAATTGAGTTTTGTTCAAGAAGGGCGTTTCTTTTTAACTCTGCACCTAGGACGAAATGTGCTTACCCTTCCCTGTGTAATCCTCCAATAATTGTCTTCCGTTTCCAGGACACGTACCCGCGGCCATGCTCTCACCACAGAAGTTTGAAATTAAATTGACCGGAAGTCGATTGATCTAGACCCTCGTTTAATGCATTTCCCATCGTCGCAGAAGTGAGTTAGTATCCCAAAAACCGGACATCTCTTAATTCCGTACATATCGAGGAAAAGAAGTCAATAATTCGGAGCTCTCTTCTCCTCGCTCTTCCCGCGAGACGCCATTACGCTACACATCGCCCATAAAATTCGACGCTTCTTGAGAGAATCGGTTCTCCTTCCTTTAAGGTGTTATGAAAGTGTCATATATACGGGTCGCAAATAGACGTACATGGTGTGTGCATCAACTCTTTCATAAATTTCGATATATCACTATATTACTTTTGGCAGGAATGTCGTAACTCTAGTCACGCATGGCGCAATGCCCGTCGGGAAAGGCCCGCTAAGAACTTTCCAAAATGGATTTTCGAAATTTCCCTCAACCCCACGTTCCCCAAAAGAGTTCTCTCACTTGTTTTCCACTTTTGTGCCGCCACGTTTAAACCTCGTTTCAAAAAATAGGACTTCGAACTCACGAGATCTCGTCGTTAATTGACATCGACTGAACCTAACCCCAAAAATGGCGCCGACTGTTGCGAATGTGTTTTTTCATAAAAAATTCAGGACCTTTCGCGTATTCCGGGCATTGGGCGGCGACGTAATATGTATTTCACTGTATAAGCTTTCAATAATCGAAGGCGTAGAAACAATGGTTAGAGAGGACGTCGTTCGAGGTTATGACTTAAGCTACGGTAGTAATAAAAATAATAATAGCAGTAATGACAATAATATAATATAATATATAATATAATAGCAATAATAATAAACGTTATCGTTATCAGCAATATATCCAATGTATAATAATTACTCAATATATACAATATATAGCTATATATGCCGCAGAAGGGGGCGAGGTTTCGGCGAGAAATTAAAAAAAGCTCCGATTGTCTGCAAAAACTCGCTAATGAGGAAACGCTCTCTCCACGTATGTACAATAAAATCACAAATCGAGGGTTGTTAAACAAGAAGAGTTAGGAGAAACGAGGGAGAAAGATCGTAAAACGCCAAACTTGGCCGCGAAAAATCGCGCACGGAAATTCGTACAGGGACTGTACAAAGATGGCGGCGCTTTCGAAAATGTCCGCCAGAGCACGCGCCACGGATTCCTCTATTTAGGGACTCTGAAATGGTTTTTCGGTAGAGCTAACCTCAAAACCTCGTACATAACGTCGACACCTCGTACATAACCTCGAAACCTCGCGACCTTCTTCGACTCGTGGATCAAAAATGGAAGGAATACGGTGTCTATCTTACAAGCCGAGTATATGTGGAGGTGCCGTAGTGTAATACAGTGCACGTAACGCGCTAGGTATTTCCCTTCCTTTACGAGATATTAACGAGCTTAATAATCGTTCGCATATATAATCGGTCGTTATTACAAACTAGAAACAATCTCTAATGACTTTTGCGAGTAGCTCTGTAATTAGGCTTCTGAGCAGTGTCTAGTCAGGAAAAGAACTCAACGATACAGTGTACGCGATCGGTACCTTCGAGTGACAAGTCGCGACTTCGGCACGTCCTCCTCAGTCGTGTCTTTCTTATTATTCTTAATTCATAATTGATCTCTTCATTGCGCATTTGTGGAAATACATGGAATAAGATTCTAAGGAAATAACGATGAAATTATGCCCGTAGTGTCTGCGCACTTCCCTGCCACTTTCGACGATACTTGGCGCAGATCTGCCGGGAGAAAAAAGTATTTCCATTTGATGAAAATTGAGAAATTACGGACTTAATTTGCGTACCAAAATCACATGGGAATTAACGGTGAATGTCAAGAAATCTTATTCCTTATATTCGTATCGAGTAATTATTTATATTTATGGCACTAAATTTTTCCTTCCGACTTTGTCACGATTCGTGACCAAGTGTACACCACTAAGTTCACAGCGATCCAAATCTCGTCCCTTCGTTTACTTTCATTAAACGACACGATTCCTCACAGTGGTTCAATTTTAGGATTCGTTGCGGCATTCCCAAGGAGCCTTCTTTAGAAATCCAGTCGAAGACACGTCTTTAAATAAATCTTGCAAAGTCCAAAGGCTCGAAACAGCGTGAGTCTTCATGGCCCGATAAAGCGAAGCTTGACGAAAGGATCGATGAAAAGCTATAATTCTTGAGGACGATGTTCATGCATTGATGGGCATGTCAGAAATGGGTGCCACTGGTGCTAAATCCGTTCACTGGGAATAAATGTGATCAGCGTGAAGGGTCAATGTTTGTTGTCTGACTACTTTCCTAGGGAGCATTTGACGACTGACGACTATACCTCTAGGAGGTGATACAGTTGAAAAAGTCTTAAATACGGGGCTGTAGTCGAGCGTAGAAACATGAAAAAGAAAGCCTCCGATGCGTCGTACTCTTTCGACTTGGAGTACCTAAATTCCTAACCTACACATGCGGCGACTGAATAGCTTCTCACGTGCCTGGCAATCCAAATTCCCCTTTTCGCCCAATTTTTACTCATCCTTAGGCCGTGTACTGAATCCGGAATCGTCTGTACGATCCTTCCGAAGGACAGAGACTCATTTTGAGTAAACCGACCAGAAATTAACTTAGAAACGGGACATAAATGAGTGTATCGAATTTAACATCGCTCAATGAGAATTCCCTTAAATTGATTAAACAATAATTAAAGCATGAAACATGAAAGCGCTTTCAACTCGCCAAAACTTATAACCATAAACAATATGTACGAAGTGGACCCATGGTAACAAAATGTGAAGTTAATAGTATGAACACGTTGAGTGAGCGAAGTGTGACCTTGAATATTTTCAGATTGGCGTAGCATATAGCGGATGGTTCTGAAAGATCTGAAGAAAATTACAGGCGCTACAAAACGGAACGTACTTTCATCATGTCCACAATTTCGATCCGAGTAATTTTTACGTGATATATCCTTTTTATCCCATTTCCGTTATTTGGTAGGTTTTCACAAATCGAGTCGGCATTTTCCTATCCGGTTAATCGTACAGAAGAACCTCTGTCGACAACCGACCGCGTCATTTCCGTTCTCTCTTCCCTCGCATCGACGGCGGTATACACTTTACACTAGGTTACAGTAGAAACGCACGAATATCTTAATACGACTTATACAGCTCTTAGACGCTTAATTAAAATATGACAGTCATCGTTAATGTTAACACACTCTCGGCCTCCCGCGCGTCGCTTCGGGGAGAAGTTCGAAGACTTCCAATATGGCGGCCAAGATGGCGGTTGTGCATCCAAAATGGCGGCCGTCACGGCCGACAACTCGGATCAGTCGATCGGGGGAAGGAACTGCGCGACGTGCAAATCATTCCAACTTCCACTCTGGTCTTCGAACTTCGCGCGGGTAAATTGGAAACCAATAAATATTGACTTTTAAAATTGATAAATACTTAACGAGCCTATACTCTAACACCGTAATTACCGCGTCACGTGTGCGATCATCCACTATTCTTGCGTCCGTTTCTCTCTCTCTCTCTCTATCGTTGTACTTGCGTGGACAGTCATCGTCGCGTCGTCATTGACGTCAGAAAAAAGTGTCGCCCTCGTCGTCGTTACCCTGGACATCGTCACCGTGATTGGCACCTCCGTAACCTTCCTCGTCATCCCGTAACTCGGCGACCCGTTATCATCCAGCTTCTTCGAGACAGTAATCGACTCACCACTCAAAATCGTCACACATTTCTTCGCCTTTCTCCGAATATCTGCATATCCGTCAAACCAGGTTCGTCGGAGTCCATCGATCCCGTCAATACCCTCCATAATGACTCATCGTCTAATCTTCCAGTAATCTCGTTACTGCAATTACCGGCTAATCGATCATCATCATCATCATCGTCTCCATCTCCATCCCGTCGTAATTGCCGCCAGGTTCGCATCCAATCATCGGCTTAATTACATTACACCTATCAGTAATCATTAGCGTTACGTTACCGTTAATACTAAAAGTATCGTTACAGTAATGATTAATCTACGGTTACAGCAACGATTAACCATCGTCATCACGGATCGCGCGTCTTCGTCACACCACATAGTCCATCGGCTCGCTCCTGTGATCGTTATCGGTGTCATCAGGATCATCGTCGTCAAGAGCATCGTCACCATCGCCCTGCATCTTCCACCCCAGGTAACGACCCCCAGGTCCTCTTCTACCCTAGACAACGTGGCGCTCGAGGTTGTTAATACTTGTACGACTCTTCCGGGTCATCTTCGTCATCCCTGCTCTACTGACTGTGCAGTCTTCCACTAGGAGGCTTGACCTGATCATTCCCCGTGCTTTTAGGAATGGCCCCGATGATCTTGACCCGGTTCTGCTGCCGATTGTCGCAGAACTGCGGAGGAGGAGCAAACACCAGCTCGTCGGGGTTCCCAGAGGAAGGTCCGGCATTGAACTCCGGAGGAGGAGGGACGAAGAGGTCTCCGTTCTGCTCTTCGGCATCCGCTTCCAGGGGAGGAGGTAACTGGGCCAAGCTAACGGCATGCCTGGTAAGCATCCCACTGCCGTACCCGATCCTCTTGGGATTGGCCTCCTTATCCCCGGTCATCCTATGATGAGAGTTCCCCTCGTTCCGGGAATCATCGAACCCTGTCGGCGGACCGACCGGAACGTCCTGGTCCGAGCTGACCCCGCTTGAGCTGTTGTCGCCATCTTCCACGAGGGTCTGTTGGGTCTGTTGCAACAGAAAGTCATTAGGATAGCTCTTAGAGGACTTAAGCTGCGTCCTGACCTTTTGGATCTCCTCCACGCTGAAAGAGTGGGGCAACGAACCGCTACCAGAGGAACTACCGGAGGTGTTCGAGTTCCCGGAGGTCTCCTTCGCGGACTCGAGCTTCTCCCGAGCCGCCGCTTTCTCCAGCTCCTTCGCGATCTCCGACTCGCCGTCCGTCTCGTCGTTCTCCGACTCGCTTAGACTGTAATCCGGCTCCGGGATCGGCGGGGCGGACAAGTTCGAAGTGGAAGAGCTGGTGGGCACCTTTTTCTTCCGTTCCCTGGCCCCGGAGATGCCTCTGGTGCTCTTGAGGGGCTGCGCGTACTGATTCCCGGCACCTGACTGGCTCCCATTTTCCAGGGTGGGGGCGTTTCCTGCACCAACCCCCGCTGGACCCGGGGCAACGCTGGCGGCCACGCCGTTCCCGTTCTGCTGCACCCCCGCCTTGAAGACGCCCCCGTTGGTCGGCGTCCTCAGACTGTGAGACTTCCTGACCTGGCTCCTGCTCGCCGGCAGACTTCTAGACCTGTATCCCACCGTCTTCGTGTCTTCGGGGGAGGCGTAGAGCTTCGCACTGTTCGACGGCCTGAAGCTCGACATCACCCCGTAGGCGGATTCCGCACTCGCTGCGGCTAGTTCTGCTTGCAAGCAGTGGTTCCCGGTTACTAATAGCGGGTCGTCCTGGCAGGAACGTCGCCGGGGGACTCGATTCTTATTCCAAGTACCTTTCACCTGCTGGATGTGCGCCATGTTGTCGTACACCGAGGCTGGCGTCACCACGTCCGGGACCGTCGCTCCAATGTTCACCTTCACCACTTGCCCGACAGGTGGCGGGGGTGGAGGGTGGTTCGGTGGAGGTAACGCGTTCCTGGGCAGCTGGGTGTTCACGTCCTCTTGGCTTCGATGACCCTTTGTCACCAGGCTCGACGATTGCACCTGCATGTTCAGGTCGGGCGTACTGTGGAAGTCCCGGTGCAGGTCCGAACCTCCGCCTAGACCCCCGAAGAAACGCACTCTCGAGCTCGACTGAAAAGGAAACCGCCGTTCAGCATCTCGATGGCCCGGGGAAGAGGGGCCATTTCGTTTTAAGGGGACGTGAAAATCACATCCGAAAGCTCAAACGTTCGTCATACTTTTATCCGAAGTGGACGTGGCGAATCGTTTCAAACTTTGCAATGCGAATACGGAGGCTATAAGGAAGGTCCCGACACTCGTGAAATTTAATTTTCTTTTTTTTTTATAACATTGAAGAGACCGTCTATCGTGTCGACGGTACTTTTTCAAAAATATGAAATTCTTTCGTCGATACGAAATAAGATCAAATGAAANAGAAGCGCATACAACACTTTTTTTGCCTTTATCCCGTTCAAATGCGAGTTTATCGATTACCAGAGTGTTCTAAATTGTCGTAAAATTGTCCTGACCCTTTCGATTCTCATATCAGAGCCTTCGATAATTGTATATCGATCGAAATATGAGAGTTCGACGCCATTTTGGTTCTGGTCTGGGCTAAGTTAGAAAATATTTTCCAAAAATCCAAATTTTGAATGTGTCAGGACAATTCGTAGAAGATTAGGAGTGATGTGTCAAGGTTTCGGTCAGTTTAGTCCAATACCCTTAAAAAAAAGTGTTGTATTCGAATCGACTGATTTGAAGGGTGTTTCACATCACCTTAATGGCGCGAAGCTTCATCAAGATGAGTACGGTGAAGATGTGGTCGTTAGTGGAGGACGCCTTGGAAAATGTCGAGAATGTTTAGACGAAATGTCCGAAGCTAAGACACAAGCTACCATAGAGTGATGAGAAGGAATTCATGTCCACTAGTGTACAAGGGAAGATCCTGAAGAGAATGTTCGGGAAGTGTATATGATGGCTCGATTTCTCGTAGACAAGAAAAATTCCCAGCCGAGTGATCGGAAGCATCTGATGGTTCGCTTTAAGCGTGAGATTCGCAAGAAGCGGACTTGCAGGTTTGTTGGTTAATCTCTCATTACCGAGGTCTTGTCCACCCGATGCCATGCAATTATTTTGAGGTTAGAAAGGGGTACTCATTGGGGATCAGTAATACAATTGGTCCTCGTCGTTCCATCCTTGCCCAGACCTCGTCCTGATGTTTCGCGTGGACTACAACAGACATGCAAAAACAGCCAGTTTTACCCATGACATGCAACAACGAGGTCAACAATTGTTCCCCGAAGGTCTTCCTTCTACCAGACTCATCGTCAAGGGGTTAGTCGATGACGATACAGCAGGATGACGATTAGACAAGGTGGTCAGCGACGTCGCCAGAGGGACAGAAAAGACACGTGAGATCACGGAATCGCCTGAGAAAGCAATTAGACATTTTTATAAGTCTGGAATTTGGAAGCGGAAAAGTGGTCGCCGGTGGGGCATCTTGTCCAAAAGAAGGGAACCATTAAAAGACTTCTCGATGGATCTGACAATGGACGAAGACAACTGGTATCGTAACTACAAAAGCTCGACAGGATCCCGGAGGCTTTCAGATGTAGAAGAAGCTACACTAATTCGTTGTGTGAGTTCCATTTCAAGATGCCCATCGACAGCGTAAGTTTGACATCGGATACTTACAACCTTAGCATCACATCGGACATCTTGATCGGATGAAGTTTAATATTTCTTTTTAATACTCTCTACGCATAAAGTTATATTTGCACCTTTGATCGATCTTGTATAACTTTTGATAGAATGACACCTGGCTCGGGGACCCCAAAGAGCAAGTTACGAGAGTGGAAACACACGGGATGAGGAGAATCAGAAATTCAGGATGGGTCCAACGCAGTCATCGGTTCCCAGGGAGAGACTCTGCGGGTCTCAGAATCCTTACTTTGCCCTTGCGCTTCATCTCAGCAACGCTCGCGTACACTCTGCCAGACTTGGCTGGCGAAGAAGGATGAGACTTGGTAGCCTGGCCGGCCTGAAAGTGAGAACTCATCATCGAGGAGCCGTACCGTCCACTGGCACTACCCTGCTGGCGTTGGAACAGTTCCTGGAAGAAAGTACGATGCTGAAATATCATGCATTCGGGCCCGGTCCAGGCGAAGCGCATTTTTCCCGAAGCCGTGCTCTGCCTTTGGAAGCCGCAAACGGAGATGTAAGACGCAAGGGGACGTCGGGAAGGGATCCTCACCTCCAGCTCGGCTGCCGTGATCCTGCTGGATGTCGGCCTGGACCTGATACTTGCAGTTCTAGGTTGGACCGGAGTGTTCTGCCCAGTGTTGGGACCCGTTGATGATTGCTGGGGAAGATGGATGGATTCTGCACTGCTGGACTTGGCTCCTGTGGACGTCACCTCGTCGCGGTCGTCCTTCTCGCCTCCGCCTTCTGTAAGGTCCGGGAAATACATGAAGACCATGATGACTAACCTCGATAACGTTTACTTATCTGGGATTATGATACGAAGACGAAGGAACCGTACCTAATCCGGCTACCATGGACCTGGCCCTTGCTCTTCCGACACTCAGGGTCGTCTTGGGGTCTCTTCGAGGTGGAGCCGGTGCCGGTGATCTCCCCAGGGTACCGCCAATGGCGACGTTATTGTTGCCCTTCCTCGGTAGGGTTGCGTATTGCCTCTGGATAGGTTGACTAGTCGGCAATGCCGCTGCCGATTGCGAGTTAGGAAGACTTATCACTGGCGAGACCACCGTCATCCTGACCAGCTCTCCGGACTTCCGAATTAGATCCACTACGTGTTCATGGGACGCCGTCGTCACGTTCTCGCCGTTGATCTGTAAAAAGTCGTCTTCGTCATTTCTTTCCACTGTCACGGTAACGGTGTTTCGTCGAAATATATCTCTAGTTTAATGACATCTTTTTTTTCTCAGTGTACCTCGACTTCATGTGGGAACAATTTTTTAGGGGTCTTCGGTCTCACCTGGATCAGGAAATCTCCTTTCCTCAGCCCTGCGAGGTCGGCGACTCCTCCTTGGTCGACGTCGTCCAGGTACTGCAAGGCTGGATATCTTGCCGAAGGGGTCAACTCCATCAACGGTGAAGTTGCTTTGGCACCACGTAATACGAATCCGAAGCCCTTCCTGGAGCGATGGAGGACTACGGTGCGAGGCTCGGATGTGACACTAAGAACATGATCATCGTTTCATCATTAATTAATATAAATAAATCGCAGGTAGTCATTACATAATTAATACATGCCGAGGGATATCCTTCTTCACCCTGTGATATCGTGAGTACTGAGACTAACGATATGCATTTTTTTTATATATATAACATATATTTTTGAAAAATGATAGAATTATTGTCATTTCAGGTTCTTGGAAGACAAAGGTCCTTACGGTTTCTTCAGTCTAGGTGCAGTGGCGAAGTACTTGTGTTGCGACTCCCTGCGACCCAAAACTCGATTCCTACCGTCCCTGGCTGGCTGTGGACCCAACGGGATATTTGTGTGGCGAAGTCTAACTTCTTGCACACAATGAGCAGGAAATAGACCGGTACCCTGGCCTCGAAGAATGCCTTCCAGAAGGCCGCAATCCGTGGCACCAGTCACTACGGCAAACCACGGCTGATCGGTATAATGTGGAAGTAATGACAAGGCAATAAGTCCCCGATAATTATCGCGTTATTCCGTGATAACCCACGTAAAGACTCCGCTTCCCTCATATCTGGGTCTTCCAACCATTTAGATGAAATCTTATAAATCGATACGCGTCAAATATCTCAAACATTTCTTCCAAATTTAATTAAATTCATCGCCGAGTGAATTCACGTCGTGAATTATTCTTATCTTTTCTAGTGAAACTTCGTTATCCTTGGTCCGGTAATTTCGAGATAAGGGGAATTATTGTCAAGAATATCTCCATAACTTTTTATGTATCACGAGGTTATCATATGGAGTAATGGGTTTTTTTATTTTTTATTATGAGATGATGCAATACCTTCGAGGATGTCACCTTGATTGATGGTCAGGTGTCCCAGGATTCCGGAATTGTAGCTCTCTACGCAAACTACGGTCGTTCCTGGGATTGACAAGGAATTAGTCGTGTCCGACTGCGAAGTGCCAACTCCAGAACTGTCACTGATGACATCCGAGGCTGTGTCGCCGAGACTTTTGTCTGGAAACGAGAAACAGACTTGAAGGTCCGAAATGTACAATCCTTTCGATTTTTACATTTTATAAATACTTTCCATATCTAACTTCATTCGTTTTTTAGATTGTATAAACAGACGGGAGAGATATCCGAGAGCAAGCCGCTGTCATGACACGCAATGACGGGAGGAAATCTCAAGAATTAAGTGCGTGAGATGATTTGGATGACGTGATGTTGATATCTCGGATGCGAGTTATAAAAAGTCGGCACATTCCTTTGACATTCTGCCCAGAAACAAAGGAGAGACCCACGACTAATCGTGGAATGGAAGCCATGCGATAACGGGGGATGTGGCCGTTGAGTTTTCGAATTATTGTGGAGAAATTTTTATTAATTCAGGATTGGAATGATTGGAACAATCAGTTTTTCTTTTTTTTCTCTTGTATAATCGAGATTTGGGCAACCGAAGAACTCGGCACATCCCTTATCGCTGGCTTCTACAGATAAAGCGTAATGGGGTTTAGTCTAATAAACGCATTCCAAGATGGCGTCTCGATCTTGCAAAAGTCACCTAACGAGCCATTCTCTTTTCGAGGCATCTTAGAACGAAGCAGGTGTACACTGTGAAAAATATCTAAGAATTACCACCCGGTATAATTTGCACGACCACTGACTCCATATTTTCTATCTAATTCTTTAAAGATATTGTTTTATTCTGGAAACTAGTCTAGCGCTATAAGATGCGGCGAGAATTCTTGCTATTCAAAAATGATTAGGTCGAGGAATAAGTTCCCTCCGTTTTAATTACGTTACGTTACGTTAAAAACGGTGGGAACTTATTCCTCAACCCAATATTTTATAAATATTTTATCAGACCGCAACTACTTAATGAATGAATTAACCAACATCACTTTCGCTGCACCCTGTACATAATTTTCTTCTGATTTATTACCAAGATATAAAATTGGATAGCCTTGAATCGATACCCACCATATGAGACTATTTTTAACAGTGCACGCTGCATGAGACATCGAACAAAAGCATGCATTGTCTATACCAAACGCAGAGGCATTTCTAACCTCTAAAAAGCAAAACGTCCTCTTTCTTTCCTACCTCGACACGGTCAATCTACATTTGGTGGTGATGGTTTCAAGTTTAACACGTGGCTCTTAAACTCCCTACTCGATACGATTAAATACCCTCGAACATTCGTAATCAGACAAGTTCGCAACGCTGCGTCTCTTTACTCTATGCATGTAGTATTAATTTTTACAAATTCAGAATACCAAGACTGGCGTAAAGAAACCCGGCGTCGCGTATACGTACGCACAGAATGAATGTATTTGCCGCGAAACTCAACCGAGTTTTCGATTTGTGCGCTTTTCGGTAATAATGTTAATTTTTATAGATATGCCGTGTTCAGACCTGCCGTAAAGTAACACGAAGTTGCATATAAATATAGGTTTGAACGTATTTGGCGCGAGACTCAGTCGAGTTTCTATTTTATTCCTCGTGGAGGCGCCACTGTCGGGTCGCTGAAGATCGGAAGGTGAAAGAAAATGTAAATAAATTCGGGTACCTGTGACGATGCTAGCCGAATCTTCGCCCGAAGGTTGGTTGCTGCCTTCGGAGAGGCTGGAACTCGCAGAACTGAAAGGAGCGAGACTTCTGCTACTCGGCGACGGCGATGGCGGCATGTCCATTGTCCTGTGGATGTCCAGTCGATGTTGGAGCTCGATCCGGTGCTCTTGCAACCTCGTGAGGCCCTCTATTCTTAGGTTCTGATAGTGCTCCGAGCTCGGCAATCTTGAAATTAGGGGTCGATGCAGCGTAAAGTGTCTTTGCTTTCGCCGCGAATGAGATAAAAAGGTCGAGTTCCCGGAGGAGAGGTGGCGCACTTTTCAAAATCAATTTTCAACACCGAACACATCGAACTTATGGGCTCTCAGAACTCAGGAATTCGTAAAGGTTCGAAAGTTTATACTTTGCTGTCGAACGAATCACGGGTTTAACAAGGAAACATTCCCAAGTGTCCGCCCCCAATCTTATTGATTTTCATATATGTTGAAGAACACAAAAATCTAAGAGACACGTGTTTTTATATATCTGCAATGGTCCACATTTAAGGGGTGAAACAACCCCCTAAAATGTAGCGAAAAATCGGCTTTTTAAATATTTTTCGTAGGAGCAGTGGAGGGATTTCGACGAAACTTGGCATAAACGTATTCTGTATAAGGACGGCGACAACACAATATTGTTCAGCAATGTTGCACCCCTTCAAGGGGGTGAACTACCCTTCAGGTGACATTNTACAATGAATTGGTCACGATATAACCCAATAAAGCTAGTCGGAAAATACCCGTATACCATCTACATTCATTGTTTACAACCGATGTGTAAATGTTTATTGGAAAAAAGCAAAAAATACGTATTTCTTCATTTTTTGTGAGCAATCACATCGCGTAAGTGGAACTTAAGTAGGAGTGCTTGTTTAATGGATATTACAAAAAAATGTCACCTAAAGGGTAGTTCACCCCCTTGAGGGGGTGCAACATTGCTGAACAATATTGTGTTGTCACCGTCCTTATACAGAATACGTTTATGCAAAGTTTCGTCGAAATCCCTCCACTGCTCCTACGAAAAATATTTAAAAAACCGATTTTTCGCTAAACTTTGGGGGGTTGTTTCACCCCTTAAACGTGGACCATTGCAGATATACAAAAACACCTGTCTCTTAGATTTTTGTGTTCTTCAACATGTATGAAAATCAATAAGATCGGCGGCGGACACTTGGGAATGTTTCCTTGTAAGTAATAATGCAATTAGTAATGCGTTAATACGCACAGAGTGAATGTAGTTGGCGCGAAACGCTTATATTTTCATTCGGGATAGCTTTCGAGTTATGATGTTAATTTCTACAAGTTCACCATGTCAAGACTCGGCGTAAAGTAACACGGAGTCGTATACGAATGCTGGTGGCAATGTATTTGGCGCGAAACTCAATCGATTTTTGATTTGGCAGTCAGCAGGGAAGAAAGTTAAAGCTCTCGAAGGTCTCCGAAAGTGGCCACCTCGCGTCCCGGAGGACAGTCCGGGTCGCAAAGACAGTTTATGCTTACCTCGCACCGGGATCTCCGGAGGCGATCGGGTTCTGGTATTCGGACGGCAACCGATCGAGAGGGTTCTGATCCGTTCTGCCGAGACTCTGGTCCTGTATTCTACTGAGCGCACTCAAGTGCTGCTCGGACGGTATTCTCTCCAGGACGCAGCATTCCGTCCTGCTCCGTTCCAAGGACGGAACTCGGTTGAGGTTACTATGGAGGGATTCCGAGCTGGAGAGTCCAGGATAGGATTCGGCACCAGGAACCCTAGACGAGTTCCCAGTTTGGTACTGATCGGAGGACGTTACCCTGGTCAAGGTACCCGTTTGGTACCGATCAGCCGAGGATACCCTGGTGAGAGTCCCCTGGTACCGATCCGCCGATGGTACCCTGACCTGGTACCGATCGGACGTTGGTACCCTGGTGAGGTTCCCAGGTTGATACTCGTCGGAAGACCCCATGGTACCGGGTTGGTATTGCTCGGGTGGTACCCTCGTCAGGGTCCCGGAATGGTACTGCTCGGATGTTGGCATCCCTGATGGATACTGATCGGAGGATGGTACCCTTGTTAAGGATCCAGACTGGTACAATTCAGGGGATGGGACCCCCTTCAGGGTCCCGGAATGGTACTGGTCGGATGTTGACATCCCTGATTGGTATTGATTAGAGGATGGTACCCTTGTTAGGGTTCCGGAATGGTACTGGTCGGACGTTGGTATCCCTGATTGGTACTGATCAGAGGATGGTACCCTCGTTAGGGTTCCGGACTGGTACAGATCAGGGGATGGGATCCCCTTCAGCGTCCCGGAATGGTACTGGTCGGATCCTGACATCCCGGATGGGTATTGCTCGGAGGATGGTACCCTCGTCAGGGTTCCTGATTGGCACTGTTCCATCGACGGGATTCTCGTCAGGCTGCAGCTTCCGTACTCGGCAGAGACCGTTCTCGTCAAGGTGCTCGTCAAGGTGCCGGTCCCGGAAGTGGACGGATGCTGTTCCGTGGACGGTATCCTGGTCAGGGTCCCCAGGTTGCTCGCAGAGCAGCTCGTGGTCATGCCACCGAAGGCCACGGACCGCCGCTTAGGGTTGTAACGTGGCGGGCCCTTAAATGGTACTGCAAAAGCGAGGTTGCAAGGTTAAGTAAGGAAAAGGTTACTTAGCCTTACAAGGGGCCGCCCAGGACCTCTGGGTCCACCTTGAAGAGAACCCTGCCGAGATTTGGAGGACCTTCTAGAAAGGTGAACTTTGACTGATTTTACGTATCATTGCGCTTTTATCTCTGTTTTCCTAGCTGATATTGCTCGGGATTTCGGAATTATCCAGAAAGTGAGAAACGGGGCATTGGGAAATGTGCCTGAGTAGTCTAGAGAATCATTAACAAAGTCGGGGAATGTGGTAACCTAAGTTTAATCCAATCTAACCGAAGCACACGGGCTCAAACACTGAGAAAACACAAATCTCATTGAGCGAAAGAAATATTTTCTTAATTCAAAGAATGATAACTTGGCTCAAATAAATTCTTATGATTCCGAGGAAAGGTTGCATCCCATTTAATCCAATTTATTTGCGCCAAGTAATTATCTCTTGACTTGGCAAAATATTTCTTTGGTTCAATGAAATTCCTCTCTAAGGGTAAACGGTCTCCAATTCTTCTTCTGCATTTCTCAACGCGCCGGCATATTTTTTCTTACTGAGTCGTTGATTTCTCTTCCAAGATGAACTTTACGACAAATGTTAGTCCTACTTGGCGCTGACTTTGTCTTTTAACTTTTCAAAAAGAAGCAGGTGTTAAGTACAAGCCACCACCACAAAGGTGCTCCTCCCTCGCACGACCTTACCACAAGACGACATCGCGCAACTTTTTCTTAATAATTCGTCCCAAGTACAAAGCTGCGAAAAGCACATACGCATTCTCAACCACAGGACTCTTGTATCCGTTTTGTACGATACAATAATGACTTTCTCGCTCGCAACGCCCAGCGTCGCCGATTATTACGATATACAGTATACACGTTCCACGGTGCAATCGGATCACAGTGTGCACAAACGACGACTTGGCCTTCAAACACGGACAATGATAATTCACGCTATAAATAAAAATATATATGTTACGGTGAATGACCGAAATTGGAGAATGTCGACTTTCACCGGTGAATGTCAACAGATACCAAATACGTCGGTGAAAGATCGAATATTTCATTACATTGTTGTACATTCGGACCCTCTCCAGTGTGTGTCGACAATGACACACCGGTGAATGTCAACATTTACCGGTGTAAGTCGGAAATAAGGGTATTTAGCAAATATTTCGGACATACACGAAGCGACTATGTGAATGTTGACATTCACCGGTGAAAGTCGACATTCTCCAGATTTCGGTCATTCACCGTAACATGTATATATATATATATTCCGTGATATGTGCCCATAATTATGGAAGTGGTCTAAGTCATATATTTTTTGTTTCGAAATTACATTGAATTAATTTAGTTTGAAATAATGTGGCGTGAAATAACTGATAAACTCATTTTTTTTTTTTATTTCGACTTAGACCACTTTCATAATTATGGGCACATATTATAGTATTTTTTCCAACTTCCATTCGGATGAAATTAATTTAAGGATGTTGAAAAGAAAAATTCGATAATTAACCCCGTGTTCGAAAGCCAGCTTGGAAAAAGTCCCCACCAGGTCGTCCACGGTCCATAGGATTTGCGGGGTGATTTGATGTTTGTTGGATCTTCATTGTTGAAAGAGATGTTCGGTTGATTGTACAATCGAAGCTACGAGAACGACTGAGTCACTTTACGTGGCTCTTTGAATGGCTGAGTCTCTTTTCGTGAATGGCTCAGTCTCTTTCCGCGAACGACCGAGTTTCTTTACGTGAACGACTGAGTCTCTTTACGTGAACGACCGAGTCTCTTTACGTGAACGACTGAGTCCCTACGTGAACAATCGAATCCCCACGTGAACGACTGAGTCTCTTTACGTGAACGACCGAGTTTCTTTACGTGAACGACTGAGTCTCTTTACGTGAACGACCGAGTTTCTTTACGTGAACGATTGAGTCTCCACGTGAACGACTGAATATTGACGTGAACAATCGAGTCTCTTTACGTGAGCGACTGAGTATTGACGTGAACAATCGAGTCTCTTTACGTGAGCGACTGAGTCCCTACGTGAACAATCGAGTCCCCACGTGAACGACTGAGTCTCTTTACGTGAACGACCGAGTTTCTTTACGTGAACGACTGAGTCTCTTTACGTGAACGACCGAGTTTCTTTACGTGAACGATTGAGTCTCCACGTGAACGACTGAGTATTGACGTGAACAATCGAGTCTCTTTACGTGAACGACTGAGTATTGACGTGAACAATCGAGTCTCTTTACGTGAACGACTGAGTCCCTACGTGAACAATCGAATCCCCACGTGAACAACTGAGTCTCTTTACGTGAACGACCGAGTTTCTTTACGTGAACGACTAAGTCTCTTTACGTGAACGACCGAGTTTCTTTACGTGAACGATCGAGTCTCCACGTGAACGACTGAGTCCTTACGTGAACAATCGTGTCCCCACGTGAACGACTGAGTCTCTTTACGTGAACGACCGAGTTTTTTTACGTGAACGATTGAGTCTCCATGTGAACGACTGAGTATTGACGTGAACAATCGAGTCTCATTCCGTGAACGACTGAGTCCCTACGTGAACAATCGAGTCCCCACGTGAACGACTGAGTCTCTTTACGTGAACGACCGCGTCTCTTTACGTGAACGACCAGTGGACCGTGTCCGTCACGCATAAACATATCGATCCTCAATTCTACCAGTGATCTAATTTACAGAGGAATCCCTTCGGCGACTCCAAGACAAAGATATCCGACCAGTAACCAAATTTGACAAGACAACGACCAAGATCTTGTACAAATACTTGACGCACAACCATCACCACCAAAAAGATTGCGGGCCGCGGGGGGCCATCGATTAGTGATCGACCTGAGCCGATCGACGTCGATTATCGATTACTGTTAATGACAACAGGCGGGTTCTTCATCTACCAAGCCCTAAAAGGGACTTTTAACGAAGAAATTACAGCGACTACTGTTAAAAAAACGTGCACATGCCCATGCCAAGCTCGACAGCATGCGTTTCACTACGGGTACTACGCCGAGCGGAAGGACTTACGCCGCCGCGGAGAAACCGCGATTTTCTGCCGCACCTGTACGCGATGGCGGGAAACGCTTCCTGGAAAAGTTGTTCGCGATGGCACGAGGAACAACTTTTGTATCGGGCGTTGTTCGATATCTCGCACCGCCGGGGAGAAATATCGCGATTACCTGGGGTGCTCCACGGCGCTCGTCCTCGCGCGCTTAACGGGACCACGATTATCGGCGATCGTTCGAGCTTCGAGAACTCGAGATGCGTAAAACGCTTTGCGGAAAACCCCAGGAAAATTGACCGTCAAGATGGAAACTTCCTAATATTTGGCCAGAATTAATTGCGAAATTATTTCGACGCGGATGCGATGTGCTCTTGGCGCGCACTGATAAAGACCTGACGCGATGTCGGAGAACAAACGAGAGTTTATCAAAGAAAAACTAACAATGGCGCCGCTTTATCTGAACAAAGCGACGGAATGGCGACGTCATAGAATAGTCAACAACGATAACCTGTAATTAATCTTTCATGAGAGCAAAGGTGCAAGTTTCAGCGAATTCCGAAATTCGAGGCAACCTAACCTCCAATAGCGCTACCAAAAATGAATCTACGAATAAAGGAGCTAAAAATCCGAATTAATCAAAATAATTCGGTCGGTAGTCGAAACGGTTAGAGATGCAAACAATTAATTCGCATAAATCTGATGATTTACGTAGTTAACAAAACGCGAGGATCTTCACGACCAAGTGCTGAAAGTTTATCTCTTTTCCGGTTGGTTTGCCGGGGCAGTAGTTAAGGTGAAGTGAAACACGTTGAGGAACTTGATCAACGTCGATAAAGAAGATTTTTCTAAATGCCTACGTTGCCGACGTTCGTTTTTATATTGACAGCTGGGTCGAATTATATTGGGTATTGTACCAAATGGCATATTCCACCTGTCGTTTTCGTACAATAATTATAAAGAAATCGAAGTGAAACTCCAGAAATCCTCTGGATTTATGCTTTCTGGGGCCCTAATTGACTGCGGAGGGACCCCCTGCGCCATCTGTGATTTCCAGGTCAATTAAATTTTCACTCCGAGACCTCATATTACCATCGTTTTAGCATAGAAGCGTATACAACTCTTTTTTTGCCCTTATCCCGTTCAAATGTGAGCTTATCGACTATTAAAGTGTTCTAAATTCTTGTAAAATTGTCCTGACCCTTTAGTTTCTCATATCAGAGCCTTCGATAATTGTATATCGATCGAAATATGAGAGATCGACGCCATTTTGGTTCTGGTCTGGACTCAGTTAAAAAATTCTTTACAAAAATTCAAATTTTGAATGTGTCATGACAATTCTTAAATGATCAGGAGTGATGTGTCAAAGTTTCGGACAGTTTGGTCTAATACCCTTAAAAAAAAGTGTTGTATTCGAATCGACTGATTTGAAGGGGGTTTCACTTCACCTTAAGGGTTGCGGTAAGTAGCTGCAGTGCTGCAGCTGTGCAGCGAGATGCATTTACTGCACCCGGAGAGCAGCAAGAAACAGTTTTAACGCGAGGGGAGGAAATTGTCATTCCGTGGGAGATAAAAAATGAACGCGAGGCGAGCTGGATATTTACTAGTTACGTGTTTACTGGTTACTGCATAAGCACGTGGTGCTGGAAAATGTATTCCGTTTTGCAGCCATCACGAGGATGGCATAACCCAGCTGTTACCTATGCAGTAATTTCACTGTATAACGGTCGGGATTTCACTCGGCGGATAATTTTCCGCGCCATTTCCTTGTCGGTTTCCACGAACCATCTCTCATTGATGGACCGTTTTGCAGATCACACCAACGATA